ATAGATAGATAGATAGATAGATAGATAGATAGATAGATAGATAGATATGAGGGCAAGCATTCTTTGAGAGGAAAAAACAATATACCATATTTCATGGCATGATTGGCATGGCGTTGATCACTAAAGTCACTCCTGAGAGATTAGTTTCTTCAGACACAAAGCTCGTCAACACTCCATCATCACTACAATGTTTCATCATGTTTTTACTTGCTATTAATCATACTGTTTTTTCCTCTTCCTTGAAGCTCTGTGGGAAACCCTACTTCACAGAATAAGGTAAAATGAGGCTTGCAAATAGGACCTGGTTTTTTTGAATCACAGCTCTGTTACCTGAACTTTATTATGCCTACACTATGCATGTGTTTTAATGATTATATAAGAAACTGTATTCATAACGGTACCTATTGTTTGTTATATGCTGATTACATTAGATCTGTCCATTTATTTCATTCTTCAAGAATCAATCCCACCATGATGCCATTGTAAACTTCATTTTGAAAATAAAAATACAAAGGTACAAAGCAAGTAACTTGTTCAGGGTCATACACTACAACACTCTGAGAATGTTAATAAAAGTATGGCTAGATGTTGGGGAATAATACAGTGGCAGAGTGTTTGCCTTGCATGCATAAAGGCCTGGATTCAATTCCTAGTACCATGGAAAAAATGATTATCTAAAAATTAAAAGTAAAGTATTGATAGAATTAAGGAAACAAGAATAAAAGATTGAGGGACTTCCCCAAAACACTATTATCACCTTTCAAACATGTAGGACAAGGACAAAGACTGACACAGTTGAATCCAGATGAAAGCTGTACATATAAGAGACATAGACCTTGATAGAGAAACTCGGCTACTGTCTAAACCACAGCAAGACAGGCGAGGAGGAGATTAATGTTCTGACTTTTCTCAGTCTTCTGTTTTGATCACACTCAATTGGAAGTCAAGACAGTTTGGAAGACCATAGGACATAGAAGGCAATATGATTGGACACAGAGAAATCTGAAACTAGACTAGGAAGAGAAATTGGAGAAGCACAAACTTTTAATCCATAGTCTTAACTAGTATGCCTGTTATTTTAATTAGAGTTCTCTAGAGTAAAAGAATTTATAGAATGAATTTATATACATATGTATGTAGAAGGGGCGTTTTTAAGAGCAATGTACAGGCTGCAGTACAGCTAATGTAACAATGTCTGGCTATGAACAGAAATTCCAAGAATCAAAGAGTTGCTCAGTCCATGAGGCTGGATGTCTTCGCTGGTTCAGTAGATGGCCACAATCCCAAAGTAGGCTCTAATGCCAGTGAAGGAGTAGATTCGTTAGCAAGGTGAGGGAAAGCAGGCAAAGAGCAAAGTCTTCTTTCTTTCATGGCCTTCTATAGGCTTCCTGCAGAAGACGTAGCCCAGATTAAAGGTGTGTCTACCTGACTCAAGATCCAGATTTGAAGTGAATCCCCCTCCTTCAAGTTAAGCAAAAGTCCCTCACTGATGTGCCCTCCATTTTTGGACGTTAGGTAGTAACAGATATATTCAAGTTGACGACCAAAAATAGCCATCGCACCTCTTGAGAGTAAACCAGCTGTTGAGAGTAAACCAGCTGTTAAGCTTTTCTCCTGCATGTTTACACAAAGCAAAATGCCTCAACTGTCTCAAAAGCAGCAGTCTTTTCTCTGAAATTTGTGACCTTCACTGTACAAAGTGCAGGACTAGCTTACCTCAGAGTTCCCATTGGGTAGAATGTGAGTCAAAGTAGTACCTCCGGCTTTCTCCTCAATCCTTCATATACAGCAATCCTGGGATCCTCCTTTTGCTCTGTGTTCTAATTCAAAGAATTCTTTATTTCTAAATCAGGACATAGTTTCCTCTCCCATGTCCCAGAGGTTTCTGCCATATCTGAGTGGGTTAAAATAACAACAACAATAACATTTTAGTAAAAGCATTCTCTCCACAAAGAACTCTCACATCACCTAAGGAAATATGTGTTCTTTAGCATTGCATTTTTGTGTATACAGTTTGACATAATACTTACAAAAAAGATGATTCATCAAATAGAAGCCATTGTTAGCAGTAGCATTGTCTCTTTGCTTAAACCAGGATAAACAGAAAGTTTTCAGCGACTGTGTTGGATAGAAACGCAAAAGATACCTGTATAAAGCCACAGAAACAATGCTTCCGAGAGAATAGTTGTAGAGGAATTTTAATCCAGCAACATGGCTGCTCTGGCAAGGGATCACATCCAAAGACCTACTAGGTCTGTGAGATCCAGCTGCAATGCAGATATGCCACACACCTTTAATATAAAACAATGACCTCTAATTGAGGGGCAGACAAAGTGACAAATTAGAGAAAGATTTGACAGAGTCAGAGATAGGGTATCTTCTACTTTACAAGACAGACAGAGAGAAAGACTAATTAACAGTGCAGAGAGAGGGAGAGAGGAAGAGAGTTCCTGCAGACAATACAATAGAGTTTGGGAGTACAATACAGTTCAGTGCAGTTCAGTTCATAGGGTTCAGAGCCATTTTTTTCAAGCATAGCAATTTAGTAAAAAGAGGACAGGAGCCAATTTGAATCCATCAGCTTGGAGAGAAGTTTGAGCCAGAACAGCTGAGTTGAATGAGCCAGCCAGAGTGCAGAAAGAACTAGAAAGGAGGAGATTATTCAGCATTAAGTCATGGAGGCTGAAAACATTCTAGGCCTAGATTAGCATACAGAGGCTGAAGTTGAAGCTTCAAGCAAGGTCGAGGCTTACAAAAGTTTAGATTGCATGGAGGCTAGAATCATCCAGACCTAGGCTTAGGGATAGTTACATAGAAACACTCTGGGCTCAACCCAAGCCATGTTTTGTAAAGCTTTCATCTTATACCCTCATCTGAGGAAATAAAGACAACATATGACAGAACATACTGTCAAACTTCATAGAAGATAGACAGCTACATTTGACATATAAGGTGTCTCAGCTCAGCTTCTCCACCTTGACTTTTGTCAGTATTATTTGGAGTACTCTTCTCTAGAATAACTCTCCTAGGCACCTTCAGACACAGGGAGGTTTCTGTCTTGACAGCTCACAGATGTTCCTCTTTTCCCAAGACATGTCCTGATATATATTATTTTTCACAATGTTGAATTTCATGCTATGAGAATTATGTTCTTGGCTTTGGGTTAGCATGATATAAGAAACTTGAATAACTGTGACCAATTGAAGGATTATCTTTTGGGTTTTGGTTTTGGGTTGTTTTTTTTCTTTTTTTTTTAATTTTTAAACAGACATTTCTGACATTGCCCATAAGTCTCCTACTCTTTCAGACATTTGTCTAAACTAATATGCACTTCAGTGTTCTAATCACAGCAAGCTCAACCTTGTTTTCATTGCTTCATTTTCAAATGATGCTATAATCTATCAAATACATTACACTGAGAATATATCTGAAGCAGCAGAAATCTGGTTATAGGTTTTTAATTGATGTTATATGTGTTTTTGAGACAAGGCCTCATATAGCCCAGGATTAAACCCACTCTATTGACCAGGATGATCTTGAACGTCTGATCTTCCTGTCTCTAATTCCTAACAGTTGAATTATAGCCAAATGCCATCTACTACCATGTCCAGTGTGTTCAGCACTGGATCTCAAACCCAGGGGATTTGTATATGCTAGGCAAGCACTCTGCCAACTGAGCAACAACCCTAGCCTATCTTTAACTTCCTATAATATATGTGTTAAGTATGTGTGTTTTGACATATGTAACAAAATGACTGTACCCAAGTTAGCATGTCTATGACCTTCCATAGCTATGATTTCCCCCTTATGTTATTAAGTCTTCATCAATTTTTTTTTTTTTTTTTTTTGCTTCAGATGGTAAACTTTGATGCAAACTCAATAGGTAAAAGTAATTGGGACGTCGGAAGAGGGAGAAATTGGTAACAGGACAGGAGCCTACCACAGAGGGACTCTGAAAGGTTCTACCCAGCAGAGTCTTTCAAAGCAGATGTTGAAACTCATAGCCAAACTGTGGGCAGAGTGCGGGGAATCTTATGAAAGAAAGGGGAGATAGAAAGACTTGGAGGGGACAGGAGCTCCACAAGGAGAACAACAGAACCAAAATATCTGGGCCCAGGAGCCTTTTCTGAGTCTGATACTCCAACCAAAGATCATGCATGGAGATAACCTAGAACTCCTGCACAGATGTAGCCCATGGCAGCTCAGCGTTCAAGTGGGTTTCCTAGTAATGGGAACTGTCTCTGACATGAACTCAGTGGCTGACTCTTTGATCACCTCCCCCTCATGGGGGAGCAGCCTTACCAGGTCACAGAGGAAGACAATGCAGCCAGTCCTGATGAGGCCTGATAGGTTAGGGTCAGAGGGAAGGGGAGGAGGACCTCCCCTATCAGTGGACTTCGGGAGAGGCATGGAGGAAGATGAGTGAGGGTGGGTGGGATTGTGGGATTGGGAGGGATTGAGGAAGGGGACTACAGCTGGGATATAAAGTGAATAAACTGGGTTTACATGGAAGGGGCCAAGATGGCGGCACCGGGAGAACACTGTGTCTGAGAAGCGGGACAACACACTCCTTGCAGCGACCAGGAGACTGAACTCTGGGCCCTAAAACAACAGCGATTGATCGTGTTTCCCAGGTGAGGGGAGGCTCCCACGGCGTGGGAATCGGTCGGGTCCACTCTCAGCTGCCCAGCCAAAACCCGGAAGAGAACCCGGCTAACGCAGGCTTTGGGTCTCTGGGCTGGTGCCGCAAGCCTGCTTGTGCCGATCACTTTCCCAGGCTGATCGGTGGGCACAAGGGTGCCTGGGGGGAAGGAAAGTTGCCAGACTGATCACGGGTCACCCAGTCTTTCCCTGGAAGGTCTCTCTGACCACGGCGGGTACCTGCCGCCATCACAACTGAGCTCCTGCTGCGCACGGATTGCTGCTGCGCAGCTGCACGCCCAGCTCAAAATCCCTACTCCCTCTTGGGAGGAGGCAGGAGGCGTCCAGCAGAATCTGCCACAGACCACATTGTCAGTACCCCAACCCGAGATCGGGGCTGAGAAAACCCAGTCCTTTCGGGCACTCCCCCAAACGCCGCCATCACCCTGCTGCAGCGGAGAAAGAGGTGCACAGCGGCTTCACAGTGCCAGAGCTCCAGTGCTGCCGGCTGCTCCTAGCAAACAAACATTCTACACATCCTGAGATTATCCTGGGTGCAGCACAATAAGGTCTAGCAAAAGTTCTATCACCGGCGGCCCCCCCCCCCCGACCCCTGGCAGAGAAACGCCGGCTCAGGGCTCAGGATCCGACTGAGAAGCCCCAAAACCTGATGGCACTCCCCTGAGAGCACCTCCTAGCTTGCCCTAGCAGAGGGGAAGGTCAGAGGGGAAGGACAGAGAGGCAGCCTGCCAAGGACACAGCACCCTCTCTCCAGCTCACCCAGCGGCCCCTAGCAGAGAAACCCAAGCTCTGGATCTGAGGACACTCAACCCTACCCGATACTCTCTTGGGATCAGCAAACATAGATTCTACCGCTAGGCTGCTTCTGGCAGAGAGATCTGAGCCCGGGATCTGGGATTGAGTACACTCATCCTAACTCTTTCCCGAGCCACCCAAGGACCAGTCAACATAACCCATCCTGGCAGAGGGAAAGGACAAAGAGGCAGCACACTGGAAAGGTGGACACCGAGTCCTGCGGCCACAGTGTCACAGAGCTGACTGTTAGCCTACCCGTGCACTTCCGCAGCAGGACCAAAACAGAGAGTAGTGAGCAAGGGGAACCCCTGTGCATTCCAACTGGTCCTGCAAAAGAGAGTGAGTGAGCCTTCTAGGGAGAGATTGCCCCAGACCCAGGGCCTCTCCACAGAAGCAACCAGACGAGATCCCTGCCACCCACACCCCTAGTGTGGGCATCATAGGGATTCTTGGGATAGCGACCCCAACATTGAAGCCTCTGCCTTGCGGGTCCACCAGGGTAATCCAGGCAAACAATCCCTGGATCTCAGTCAGAACTGTGTAATAGTGGCTTGCAGGCAACTGCAATAGTCAGAGAATCCGCGCATGCACACTGCACCCACTAAAAGCGCACGCGAATAGCACCAGCATCACATTCCTTACTTAGGCAAAACTGAAACCACAGTGCACACTCCCAAAGCAGTGAACCTCTCTCATCTTCCTGAAAAAACAGTCCAGAAAACAGAAAGAGACGATCATAGCCCAAACTACAATCTCGAGGAACAACCAGTGAGGATTATAAATAACCAGTGGCTAGAGGCAGACGTAAGAACACTCCCAACAAAAATCAGGACATAATGACCTCACCAGCAACCCCACAAAACAATGGACACTTCAATTCACTAGATATACAAGAAAACGACCTCAAAACTGTGTTTCTCCAGCTATTAGAAGCCCATAAAGATGAAATGAACAAAGCCCTCAGAGAAATAACCAAAGAAATCGAGACTAACCAAGAGGAAACAAATCGTGCTCTCAGAGAAATGACCACGAAAATTGAGGCAAACAGAGAAGAAATGCACAAAGCTCTCAAAGAAATGTCCACACAAATGAAGGCAAATAAAGAAGAATAAACAAAGCTCTCATAGAAATACAGGCAATTATACCCAAAGAAGTAGAGGCACAATTAGTGATACATAGAGAGGAAACAGACAAAAAAATAGAAGCTATCATTGAAAAGCAGGAGTCCACATTCAAACAGATGAAGGAAGTGGTGCAAGACATGAAAACAAAATTAGAATCAATAAAGAAAACATAAATAGAGAAAAACCAGGAGCTGCTGAACATAGAGAAAAGACCAAGAACTACAAAGGTAAGCATCACCAACAGAATACAAGAGATGGAAGAAAGAATCTCAGGAGCCGAAGATACACTTGCGGAAATTGACACATCTCTCAA